CCAGGGCCGACAGCTCCCACCAGGCTGGTCTTGCTTGCTTGGGTCTTGAGGTTGTTGTCCTTCTCCCGCAGCATGAGCACGAGCTGTGGGGTCGTTAAGTTGGGCTGATACATCGTGAACTCGATGGTGATGGCGTACTGCGGAGGCAGGCCATGGAGAATGGCGTGGCGCACCGTGCTCTCGTCCCACTGGCCGCCGGCCACAATTATATCGCTACGGAGCTGCTCTGCCCGCTAAATGAAGTCAGCGGTTGTCTCCCCATCGCGCATGTTCAGCTGCATCTGCGGCTCAACCAGGCTCAGCCGGGCCTGGGATGCAGAACGGAACTGTTGCTGTAAGAGCTGCATGGCGGCGAGACCGGTTGGGCAATTCATGAGCAACTGCTTGATGGGCAGCTCACAGGACAGACGCAGGTAGCTGAGCGCCTGTGCGTCCTCCTCCAGGGCGTCTTGGGAGTTGCGGCTCGGAGGCGACGGGTTGTTGATGTAGCTCTTCAACTTGGACGTTGCGAGGAAATCGCCTAACTCGCCGAGCCAGTGGGAGTAGTTCGACCCATCCCAGAGGATGGTCTTACATCCCTTCCCCATGATGGTTGGCTAGCGAGCGTGAAGACGCGTTCCCCGCCGCTTTTCTGGCAACTAGTTGATGTTATGATGCATCGTTGATCCGGCGTACGACGGCGCCTGGTGCGATTTATGCGTCCGGAAGCCCTTTCAGCCTCCAGGCATGTCCCCACCTGCCTCACAGCCCCCGACGCATCTCACGGCGGGGTTCTAATTGCTTGCGCGTATGGATGCTCCTATTCCTGCCGCCTTTCTAACAATTAGTTATGTTATGATGCACCGTTGGTCCGGCGTACGACGGCGCCTGGTGCGATTTTTGCGTCCGGAAGCCCTTTCAGCCTCCCAGGCATGTCCCACCTGCCTCACAGCCACCGACGCATCTCACGGCGGGGTTCTAATTGCGTGACCGTATGGATGCTCCTATTCCTGCCGCCTTTCTAACAACTAGTTATGTTATGATGCATCGTTGGTCCGGCGTACGACGGCGCCTGGTGCGATTTTTGCGTCCGGAAGCCCTTTCAGCCTCCCAGGCATGTCCCACCTGCCTCACAGCCGCCGACGCATCTCACGGCGGGGGTCTAATTGCGTGCGCGTATGGATGCTCCTATTCCTGCCGCATTTCTTACAACTAGTTAATGTTATGATGCAACGTTTGTCCGGCGTACGACGGCGCCTGTGCGATTTTTGCGTCCGGAAGCCCTTTCAGCCTCCCAGGCATGTTATGACTGCATCAGTGGTCCGACGCATCTCACGGCGCGGGTGCTAATTGCGTCGGAAGCCCTTTCAGCCTCACAGGCATGTCCCACGTGCCTCACAGCCACCGACGCATCTCACGGCGGGGTTCTAATTGCGTGACCGTATGGATGCTCCTATTTCTGCCGCCTTTCTAACATCTAGTTACTGTTATGATGCATCGTTGGTCCGGCGTACGACGGCGCCTGGTGCGATTTATGCGTCCGGAAGCCCTTTCAGCCTCACAGGCATGTCCCCACCTGCCTCACAGCCACCGACGCATCTCACGGCGGGGTTCTAATTGCGTGACCGTATGGATGCTCCTATTTCTGCCGCCTTTCTAACATCTAGTTACTGTTATGATGCATCGTTGGTCCGGCGTACGACGGCGCCTGGTGCGATTTATGCGTCCGGAAGCCCTTTCAGCCTCACAGGCATGTCCCACCTGCCTCACAGCCGCCGACGCATCTCACGGCGGGGGTCTAATTGCGTGCGCGTATGGATGCTCCTATTCCTGCCGCCTTTCTTACAACTAGTTAATGTTATGATGCAACGTTTGTCCGGCGTACGACGGCGCCTGTGCGATTTATGCGTCCGGAAGCCCTTTCAGCCTCACAGGCATGTCCCACCTGCCTCACAGCCACCGACGCATCTCACGGCGGGGTCCTAATTGCGTGACCGTATGGATGCTCCTATTTCTGCCGCCTTTCTAACATCTAGTTACTGTTATGATGCATCGTTGGTCCGGCGTACGACGGCGCCTGGTGCGATTTATGCGTCCGGAAGCCCTTTCAGCCTCACAGGCATGTCCCCACCTGCCTCACAGCCGCCGACGCATCTCACGGCGGGGGTCTAATTGCGTGCGCGTATGGATGCTCCTATTCCTGCCGCCTTTCTTACAACTAGTTAATGTTATGATGCATCGTTGGTCCGGCGTACGACGGCGCCTGGTGCGATTTATGCGTCCGGAAGCCCTTCAGCCTCACAGGCA